TGATAGAGAAAGGGACACAGTCTGCTTGCTAAAATTGAACAATTTCATGCTTTGTCAGTTTTTGGATGATCACATTAAATATAGTGGAAAGAGATGATGATGCTGGGAAATCTAATAGGGCTGGATTGGATGTGAACTCGCAGATTACTCACAGATAATAAATCAGAATTAACAGCCCTGGCACATTTATATCACTGAATTACCAACAGCAGTCAGTTCGGATGAGTGCATACCTGAATACACAGCACTCAAGACCACAGTCCCTGGTTCAGCACCCGTTAAAATGTCAAAATACAGAAGTGTGTGGAAAATAAACACAATAGTTTGTGATGGAGCTCCCCTTTTGAACCACTGTAGCAAACACGCTGGCCAATGATGGGAAATTTACAGGCTTGAGAAAGCAACACAGAAAAAACTTGCATTTATATTTAAAAAAGTTATTAAATATCTTTAGTTCAGAAACTGTCTATGTAGTCTTTCAGATGATCATACTGAGTCTGTCAATCCCCATGCTCACATTAAATGGGAAGAAAGAAAGTATAAAAAAAACGGACTGTACTTTCATCCCTCACAGTCTCATAAATCTCATAAAGTTTAAATCTGCTGGCCGTAAGCAGTATGAGTGAATGCTGTCTGTCTTTTAATGTTCTTTTGAAGAGGAGTGTCTCAGTCATTTCTTACATTCAAGAGTAAGCCCGACCAAAGAGCTTCTTCAACACCATTAACCTTTCACAAAAGCGCCTTGATTAGCACTTTCTACCTTTTATATCCTGAAGTGAACCACGCTCTTTACTTCAATAACCGAAAGATACAACACTATTATTGAGTACAATCAGCAGTCTTCTCATTCGCACTGCATTTGGCCCCATTTACGGCACAATGTTGAAAAACATCTCCAATCTAATAGAAACAGACACAGGGCTTATGTGAATAAACCTATTGAAGCCACATGATTTCTGAGGTTCAGAAGCACTGCAGCACACCCTTTCATGCACATTTCCATTAACGGAGACAATGATATCAAGTCCAATTAAGAGTGCTCCGAGCAGCCTGATGAAAGTGCTTGTTAAACTGTGTCCCGGCGCATCATATCGGGGACCTTTCCATTAATCAGACGACAACGTTGTGGTGGAAGTGAACCATATTTACGGCTGTAAAAGGTCATGGGTCCGCATGGATGGGTAGCTTCATTTATTCGCTCAAATTCACTGTTCCATCATCGGTGGTGCAGTGAGTGCTTGTGCTTTGGGCGTGGTTTTAACCTCTATTAGATTAGGCACTGAAATGTGTTTCAACATGAATCTGCATGTAAAGAGGGATCAGATAGCAGAGAGATATCAAGAACATTGAAAGAGGTCAGCAATCACTTCAGGCTATATCAGGCAGCGTCTAAAGTCGATACGGATCAGTGCAAGAGGCCGTCGACAGTGGAAATGTCAAAGGTCCATTATATGGCCTCACATATACCAGGACTCAGCAGTAAAGGTGGCTCAAAGGCCTAGGGAGAAAGTTTTGGGTGAGTTGACAGAACTGTTTTTACATTTGTTTATGAAGTTTTTATGCTTTGCATCTTTAAACATTTGGATTTAAGTGATGTATAGAAAATTGCTGTTTTATGAATTCTGATATGTCAACAGTAAATGTCAACGAGGTGAAGTAGGGCTGCACAATTAATCGAAATTAAATCGCAAAGGCGATAAATCACGATTAGGCAGAAGCTGTGATTGTCATGCGTATCATTCAGTGAAGCACGGTCCTGTGATCAGCAGTAAATCTCCATCCGAAGGCCAGAGGGCGCTTTCGCGCTGAAACTCCAAATACGCCTTGCAGAAGAAACCCAGGAAATCCCTATAGCGGTTGCTGAATAAACAGAAGATTTAACTGCTTTGATTAATTCAACGTGACTAATAAACACACGACTACGTGTATATATGGCCAATATATGGTTTATCGGAGTTTGTCTTATTATAATTTTTATTATAATAAAGTATATAATAATGCAATGCTAATCGACATAACCTTTATCACTGCTTAGAATACTATGAAATATGTTGCGTGCCTTATTCTGTGTAAGAAGCCACATCATCTCACAGAAGGATTTACTTCAAACACATGACTGACGTTATGAAGTGAGTTTGGAGTATAAAACATGTTATTAAATGTGGTATTTTCATGTGCTTTCAGATGGAGCAGCATTTACTACACAGAGCCGTAGTTCACTGACAAGCTACGCAAACAGCTTTCATAATCGCAGAACGTTTTCTTCGATTTCATAATCGTGCGATTAAATCGTCTGCGATTATGAACGCGATTTTGCGTAGCTTGTCAGAGAACTACGGCTCTGTGTAGTAAATGCTGCTCCATCTGAAAGCACGTGATGGAGATTTACTACTAATCACAGAAAATCGCATTCGATTAAGCATGCAGCCCTAAGGTGAAGGTATATAGCTAGCTGACAGATGAGGTATTTTTGGAAATGCCAGAATGACTTCAGAATGTCTTGAAGAGTTAGCTGGAATGGCCTGAAAAAAAAAAAACTTTTTTTTTTTTTGCATATTTAATTTGACACAAATACAGAAGTAGCAGTAAGAGACGGAGGAACAGTCTGTTCTGTTTTGTACCTGGGATTATGCCCCTCCAGGTAAAAATAAAATAATAATAAAGAATAAAAAAGACTTTTGCTTACAGATTTCCAGTGCTTTTCACTGGTAAATGAATGAAAAAATTTGTTTATTGTTTATATATTAAAAATGTTGACTATTTGTGGACAATCCACTGAATAAAATACTTCTAAAAGGTATTAATGTAATTTTTTTGCAAAGAGAAGATAATTTAAATATATTTTTAAAAATATTAAAAATGATTTTAAAAAAATCACAAAAAAGAACTACTTTACAAATTCATAGGAATAAATTCATTAACAATCTTTGAAAACAATGGCATACAATGCAAAATAATACTGATTTGGTGCTTTCAACAAGTCATTTTTAAACCATCAAAAAACCTTTATGTGACCCAGCTTGATAACATTCTTGGTGTCAAATCAACCAAATTTGAAGCAATATTGAAGAATAAATCTAAGAAAAACTATATACCCAAGTTTGACTGTCATAAAAACAAATCAATAAATGTATGTTTTTCTGTGGCAATGTAGCCCAACTGGCCCAAAAATTTCTCGCAGTGTTAAGCCCTGAACTTGGGTCAACGTGGTGCAGACATTACCAGTATCCTTTAAGTTCTTTCTCATCTTTTTACATTACTTCATGTTTCTTTGTTGCTCTCATATGTAGCATAAAGCAGTTCTGTTCATCCCTTATGTTTACAGAAGGATACATTTTAGCAAAACTTCTAGTCCAGATCCTAGGTTCAAATCCAGCCTGATCCTGTCCCCCCTCAATTGCCATGTTTCTTTGTAATGCCCAATAAAAATCCTCCAACAAAACAAGGTTGTGACAATAAGGTATAGACCACCAGGACAGATCACACTTCGGTCCCTCAAGGCCTTCTTTTTATTTGCAATGATTGTCTTCCCTCACTTTATAATGGTTCAAAACAACACGCACACAGGCTGTGTTTCTTTGGGCTGCTATTTAATGGAGACTGTTGAGGTCTGACATAAGCTCATCTCCATTTACAGCTCCACAGAAGTTTGTAACAGGCATTGTGAGAGGTTTAATGTATGCAGTCTGCACTAACATGCTTGTATCACGCCGTCCTCCTCTGATGAATGACACCTATCCGCCCAGCTGCCTAATTATTCACAATTAATCAGCGAGGAATCAGGCCTGTCACCACTGTCACAACCCCCTCCCTCATTCTCCCTTACTCCTCTTAACGCCCACACTGCCATCCTGCCATGCTCTGAGCATGGCATGGCATTGCCATGGTAACCGGAAGAGCTTTTACCGCCTGGCTGTTTGTACCAGGGTTACTGGATCAGTCAGAGACTAGGATGGTGGGGTGCAGATGTGACTAATAAATAATTTAATTCCATTCCAGTTGGATTCAGTTAGTTAACTAATAAATGCAGCACTCCATAAACACTGAACTTGGAATTCTACCACGTCCTAATCACCTAAAATAATCACTGGAACAGCACACTAGGACATCCAACTTCAGGTCAGCCTGGGCAAATTCAATGACTTCATCATTTGACGATTTCCAAGATGCCAACAAATAAAGCAATGGTCCATTGTATTTCAGGAGGAGGTCAGAGAATTCCAAATAGCATGACTCTAATGCTTAGAGGTTGGAAGCAGGAAATTTCAACTTGAGTATTGCTACTTCTGACTTTGTCTTGAATGTGGCATAATAACCTATTTCCTATAAAACACAAAAGCAGTCTTCCTCAAGTGGGCACATAAGAGCTTGGCAACTAAAGCATTGATTGCATATAATGCATATAAATCCCAGGACATTTTGATTACTCATGGCATTATCACACTATAAAGTATCGTTTTTAAATCAAATTAATTCCAAGGATTAGTACTGACATACAAATGGAAATACATCCCAGAAATCACAAAAAAAAAAACAATCCTAATGCTTATCTAGTGATCACAAACTAATACTGTTGGTTCATGACGATCACGGCCGAGAAAAATATCAAGTACTATGTGACAATGGCACATATGTGTGACCTTAGGAGAGTACATTTTGTCTGGAATAATGCCACTAAAGGTGAAAAAAAGGTGTGGTCACATTTACAGTTTCTTGGTGAAATTTTGTAGTCATTTCAAAAGAAATCCAAGTGTACAGTTTTGCAAAAAATTTCCTCATGCAGATAATGCTCATTCACATTGGTCACAAAATTGCTGTGGTGACCAACAGAAAGCTTCTTGGTTTGAAAGTGACTTCTTACCTCTCTACACTATTGATAATAAACAATGAATATTTTTTTGCCCACAAAATTTCACTGAAATGTGACCACACCTTAAAGAACCCTAATAGCCAGCGATTCCTTGCCATTATATTCTGTTTCTATGATTTAAAACACTTACTCTGCCAGCTCCTCCAAGCTCCGGTACACATCATCTTCATTCAGCGCTGTGTCCTCTGATGGAAAGGGCCTGGGGAGAGAGAGAGAGAGAGAGAGAGAGAGAGAGAGAGAGAGAAGAGATGAGAAAGAGAGCATTAGCCACTGCACACAGAGAAGGAAAGAATATAGCACAATTGACTGCTACAACATCCATAATTCAACAGGTGGGTTTATTCATGAGCCTTCCACCTCCTCTGTGATTGACGTTTGTAACAATATGACAGATGTTTCAAAGGCATTTATCTGATTTCTGACAGAATACAGCAGGCACAGTGAAAAGGCCGTGGCAGGACTGAATGACACAGGCTATTGCAGTTTGACAGAGACACCTAAACGCAAACACTTCAGCCCTTTTCTTAATAACTGCGGGTCAGGCTCTAGACTCCTCAGAGAGCCGACCCACTGGGATTCATCCAAGGCTCACGAACATTCACCGGCCTATTAGAAAGCTGCAAATGGAGGACCGATCAATTTTTTGATTAATGGCATGGCTCTTCCTCCAGAGATCTCATCAAATCACTTAATCTCACACATTATGTGGGGCAAAAGGTGCTGTGCAGCATGCAAAAAACATGAGGCATGGAAAATAAAGTGATTTTGAGGCAAGCCTTGTCACTTTCGCTTTAGCGTGTATAGGGTATGCCTCAAAGTCAATACAATTTAATATACGTGATTCACACCTTTGAATAATGCAGACTTTCTACCCAACACAAAACATCATGGCTTTATGGAGCTCTTCACATCATAACTTAGTTGCTGTTGCTGCTCTTGTGTGAAATGAAATGAGCTATATATGCATTTAATATGCCACATTTGTCAGGCCGTAAATGGCACAACACAGGCTTTTATGTGGCTTCACTTCCATATAAATGCTTTTTTCTACTATGGCTGATTATTAGAGATTCAAATAAACCAGAAACCCAAGCATCCTCCAAGCAACTATCCAGAATAGTCTAGCAACCACCCTACCAAATACCCTAGAAACCAAAAAGCATAGATATTATTTTATACAGTAGTCAAAATTTGAAGTGGATCAAAAAAGTTAATCAAAGTTGTCCTAAGATAAGAATGCATTTAGGTTTTAGGACAACTTTGATGAAAGGTTTTGATCGACTTCAAATGCTGACTAGTGTATATGCTCAATAATGCTGTATTCAAAAGGGTGACACTAGTTGGCCTTCATGCTAGGCTTGCTGTGATAGATGGTGTTGGCGGTGATGCCGTTATTAAGTCGCAACACCAGTTACATCACTTGCCCACCGCAGTACCGTCCCCCACCATTGTTTTGATTTTTTATAGTAATAAAAATTAAGTTAGAGAACAGACACTACAATTAAAAACTGAAAGCGGCTGCTCAATGCAGCGTGCCTAACGACAGTTCATCACAGATCAGATTTCATTTATCATGTGAGGAGAGTGAGTGGAGCTGACTGACAAGAAGAGTGAGGTGAGAAAGACAAGACGATAGCGGATGATTTACAAATGCAAAAGCGCCTGTTTGGCAGTATTTTGGATTTTGAAAAGCCTGTTGACTTTTGCCGTTTATCTAAGGTGATTTTGGAAGTTTTTGTAAGCATTAGTTTCTTATTTAATTGGTTCCACAATGTTTGCAGATTTTTACTTTATTTAAACTTGTAATTTATGTAATGACTTGATTACTTTTATTTTATTTTAGGGAATTAATTACTATTAATTCAGTCAGGGTTTGAAAGGAATCGAATCTTGAAAATTCGATATCAACCTGATTAAAACTGATTTCAAATCTGATAGTTTACACTTTAAATCAAGGGTCGTCCAGCGAGCCGGTGATTCTTAGTATATTTTAACAACTTGAATCTTTGTATTTCCCTGGCCACGGTCAATACAATTATTATAAGTAAGCTATTATAGTAATTATTATAAGTAAGCTACGAGCTAGGTAGCAAGGGATCTTTGGCAAGAGTCTTGACTTTGAGATATCACGACACCAGACAATAATTCTTTATAAATGAAACACAAATTTTATTGGCTATTCTGGATTACATTAAAGCTAGACTAAAGCACACATACATACACACACACATACATACATAGAGATTATTAGAATGAGAGTTGACGAATATAGTGGCCCCGATACTTTCAATAATTTTCCCTGGTTGTCTTTTGAATTGTCTGTGTACGTTTTGTTTCTTTGTCTGTGACACAAGAAACGTAAGGGTTTCCGTCAGGGCAGAAAGCAGATGTTCAGTGGGTCATGTGGCCTCACGCTGCATATCCCGTGCTTCCAGGCCTGAGGACGTGATTAGATTACCGTCCCTTTTCCTGTCTTGGATATAATAGTTGCACTCAGGGTGGGTCACAAGACATCGTGGTTTCTATATGTTGTGAACGAACCTTTTCAGTCCTTGATACAAAGAAAGCTTTGTTGTTTCTTGATTGGATCAGTCCATAATCACTCCTCTGAGTAGATGATGACAAGACTGGCAGGAAGTCGACCCAGAATATTGGAGTCCTGGGCTGGGAGTGATTAGCAAACCTCATGATGACTGATAAGGGCATATCGGTGTCCGTTCATGTACTAGAAATCCCTACATTTATTTATTTTATTTGACATCAAGGTGTATGCCATGCCTCCAAGCTTTCTTATTCGTTTTGCTAATAAATGTTCTACATTTCTTATTTACTTGGTTCCACAATGTTTGCTGATTTTCAGTTTTGTATACCTATTTAAATTTAAATTTTGTGTAAGTTATTTGTTATTTTATATTAGGCATAGCCTATAGAATGGTGTATTTTGAATTATTTTGTTAATAAAAGGTCTATGATTTATATATAGGCTAATTTGAATTTGAAGTTGTATTTTGTTGTTGTTTGAACTGAATTCAAGCAATTGACGCCGAATTGCTGCTAGTTCAAAAGCGAAAGTAAAATGCGCGCGGTGCTTTTAAGCTATTTAAAAGTCAAGGAAATTGAGGAAAAGAGGGAAAACTCAAATGAACTAAAAACGAACAATTGCTTTATGCCGAATTGCTGCTAATTTGTAAGTGAATTTAATTTAAAAGTGAAAGCCATGGTGTTTATATTATTCTGATGACTTGCACTGAATGGAATAGGGCAGTTTTGCATAATCTTGATAGTAGTTACTGATAGGTTGTAGAATTAAATCACGGAGGGTGCTTCTGAAATTAGTAAGGATGCTCTAGCCTTAATGCACATTTTCTCATAAATTTTGTCCAGTTCAGTACTATGGTTATCATTATATCAATCCCTGATAATTCAAGAGTGAATCACTCATAAACATGCAGATGTCATTCCCGACACTTTCCCTCTTTTAAGATAGATTTAAACATTCTGTGTTCAAACATACTTTGCAAAAATGTCACTGCAGATATCCTTTACAACTTAAATCTCAATTATACAGTAACTGTAACAAATAAGCACATGTCAACCTGCCATACCAAACAAGACCACAGAGAGATGCCAAAGGACTGCAAATAAACTACTATACGGTTCCATTCAGAATCACTAAACATGCCAAAATACAAATGAAAAATGGAAACATTCTGAATGTGTGGAAACTCTGAAGGTGGGTTGATGTCATCAGTGAACAGTTCCTCTGTCAGAACAAGCGATCATGTTGGGAGCGTCTAATGCCCATATGTACATAAACACCATCCTCACAAACTTCTCCAAAACACGCAAGCATCCATCATAAAACACTAGCTGTACATTAAATTGGACAACTACGTGTGTATTTGCTGCCTCAAAGTTTTCTATTTTCTGTCACAAAGGGTATCTGAGTTGATTATATCTATTTCCACTAGATGGCGCTTGTGTACTTAAGCACTCACTCATTTCACTATTGATTAGTTTAATTTGTATAATTTTATATTTATTTATAATGCTTATTGTGATTTCTACACTCAACTGTTGTTTATTTGAAAATATTTATTCTTTTGAAGAGTTTTAGTTGTTTTATTTTATTCTCATCTTGCTTTGTACGTCACTTCCTGTTTTGTCATCCACATGCAATGATGCAATGATGTTATCACAAGGATTAAGTTATAGTGATCAGTATGGCGAGAGCGCATATTCATTTGAGCATCAATAATAACAGACACACGCGTGCTTAATGTTACTCCTGTATGTCACTGTAATCATCTTTACCTTGATAACAATCGTCATCCATCGCAACACTGGCTTCTTTTATCTAGCCGCGAGCTGTAGTATGCGTATATGGTAATACAGCGTTTTTGAGCCGCCGTTTAGTCTGTAGGCTATTTCACACAGCGCAAAACAGCTTGAGCTGCTCCGAAACACAGAATATCACAGAATACGTAGGTCTACAAGAAAGTGGCTGATTATTTATATATATTTAAATTATTTAACATATTAATCATAAAATTAGTTAATTTATTATATTTTAATTTTACGTTATCTTACACACCCCTAGAGGATCACTGGCGCTCCCAATGAGTTATGTACAGGCATGGACTTTTGACATTTTCTTCAGAAAATGTAAAAATCAAGTTCAACCTCATGTTGACAGAGAGCCATCTCTTCAATCATAACTATGCTGTATTCCTGTCCCTACGGAGCTGTCAAACAGCCCTGATGGAGGGAGAAAAGGAGAGAGAGAGAGAAATATAGAGCTATAGGGTAGGAAAGGCTCTGACCTTGAGTCATGTTACTAACTGGCTTTAATGCATGATCTAAGCAAACTGTCACTTGTGTTTTTTTTGTTTTGTTTTTTTGAGGTCAGGCACACAAAGAGCCCCCTTACTTAACCAATGCTGACATCGGACATCCCCACCCACACAATAGCAGACTAATAAACATACATACACCCTGACAATGTGACCAACTCCTCACCTCACACCTCCCAACAACACGACACTCAAGGATGCTATGCCTTCTGATGGACAGAGAAGAGAGAAAGAGAGAGATGCTCTCTGACAGCTAACAGAGCATATCACTATTACATTTAACGTTAAAGTTGCTGCCAGTCAGCCCTATAGACAAATACACACCATATGGACGTATATATGTCAA